TGACTAGTTTAACTTCACATTGAGCAACTTCAGGTTTTTCGTTGTATATAGGATGCAACTTCCGGTAATAAAATTTGTTAATGTTAAAAGATAGGCAGTTTTTAAACTCATTTTCCTTAATTGCATAATATGAGTCACGAACTAAATTAATTACAATGTATTCCGATGATGGGTTGATAACTACAATCATTGGGATTATGTGGAAAATTTAAAAAAATTCTGCTTATAGCAACGGAATTTTGCATCAAATATGAAGCGAGATGATGTTATTCGCCCCCGTATTGTAATTAATTTGTATAGTTTCTGTGTTATAGACAGTTTGCTCTAGTTTGATTATGGAATACAGTGCAATTTCCAATTCAGTTGTTATTAGTTGTCCAGTATTCTTCCTTTTTAGATATTTTGCGTTATTACAAAATCTTTGACAGAAGGCGATGGTCCTTTGCAGCTTTGGTAATGATGAAAATCTTTCAATGGAAAGAGTTTTGATTGGCATTCTTGTTGACGTAAGGGAACTAATTTTTAACTCCAACTATGTTGGTTGAAGTGCCTTGCCTGTCACATTTATTGTATCATTATGTAGCTATTATGACCCTGACCACCACAATTGGTTTTCAATAATTTGTTTCGGGCAGATTCCTTTTGGCGCCAAGTCAGCGGGACTTACAGTTGTATTAACATAATTCCAAATAATCTTCCTTGGTGATTAATCCATAGTTTGTTGAGTTTATCGTGCCTAGCAGCTAGATATTCTGCTGTCTTTCTTGAAGCTGGATCTTTCTTAAAGTTAATCAGTAACTTTTCTATGTCTTCTCCTAACTTCTTCTGTTTGGCAGAAGTTTCATCCAGATTTAGATTTTGTGACATTTTTTTTGTATTTTTTTTTTTAGTTGAGCGCCCAAAATGTTAAATATTTTAATTGAAAAACTTCTTGTTGCTTGGTTTGAAGTTAATTAATTTATTTATTTATTTCTTTTTATACAAAATTTATATGACTTAAAATTAATTATTTCCAACAAAAAGAGATTAGTAAGCAATTTTACGCATTTATAAAATTCATAATCTTTCCATGCTAACTTACGTATCATATAGATTTCCAATTTACTTAAAGTAAAATTAATAAACAAAATATGTGTGATTTGACTCCTACTAAAATATTGTGATAAAGTTATCTATGGGAAAATATTTACATTAACTAACTATAATGTTTGCAAATACATGTACGTTGATGAAATGTTTCATGGTTGTGTTGATGAAAAAAGACAAACGTCAAGGTCTTGATTCACCTGGAGAAGTTTCTATGCGATTTTCAGAAATTGAGACATCTGTACACGAAATTTTATAAACAAATGGGTACCATCCAAGATATCGCAGAACATTTAAAAGCTGCGTTCCAAGAGAAGAAGAGACGTTTCCAAGAGAAGAATTAGCTAGCTTCAACTGACCAGAGGAAACCACAGTAAATATTTTCACTCCTAACATGCCAAATTAAAGTAGTACTGATACCACTTTTAATAATAATTTTATTATTATTAATAATTAATTAATAACACTACCACTTTTAACTGTAAAAATATAAATCTCCAACCTACTTTTATTTCAATTAAAATATAAATCTTCAACCTACTTTCATATCAATAATTACTGTTATACTAGTACTATTTACAGAAAAGACAGATACGATGCTATTTCAAGTGATTCGGTCGGACTATAATTGGTCGCATAGGGAGGAGATGTTCTGATATCAGTTAAAAATAGATTTAATACGAATCAGATAGATTTCAACCAATATTGATGCTTCATGTTGAAGAAGGCTTTTTAATAACTGGTCATATTGTAAATGATTATGAAGCAATTTTCATAAATATTTAAAACGTTAATGACCTACAGCAAATGTCTAATAAAATTAATTTTCAAAACACGCAACTGAACTTAATTTTTACTACAGATTGGTGTAAATTAATTGTAAATGACTGCGGTATACATTTGCTTAAAGCAGATAATTATTATCCTCCAACTTGTTGTTCTTACTTTTATAATTATAAAATCGAAAACATATTGGATGTTCGTTTAAAATTTGACTTTTCTAAAGCCAACTTGATAGCCTTAAATAATTATATTCCCACAGTTACTTTATTTTCCTTTTTTTAACTTGGAGATCGATGAAGTGGTGGTTAATTTTTACAACGTTCTAAATCATGCCCTCACCTTATTTATTCCTGCTAGGCGCGATAGATCCGCTTACTCCTCACCATCGTGGTTTGATAAAGAGTTGAAAAAATTAAAAAACAAAAAAATCGAATTAGATCCCACTGCCAATATTGCTGTATCGTCGGCAAATGCAGCCAAACTTACACCTTTCTAAATCTCTAAATTTGCTCATATAAAGCACGTATAATATAAGACCAAGACTACTGCCTTGAGGCACACCGCCCTAATTTATCTAAATGTAGAGTATTCCTCGTCCTATTTGTATTTATGATTCAAGTAACTCAACAAATTGCAAAGGTATCAATTTTTTAAATTTAACTAATAAACCGTCGCGCCAAACCTTATCGAACGAATTTGGTATTCTGTGTACTCGGTCAACTTTTGCATGCTTTGTTTTATTTTCAATTTTTTATTTTCTATTATCGGCATCATCCTTGTAAACAACAATTTTTCAAAAAACTTTTATATCATTGATAGTCGAGAAATCGGTCTATGTGACTTTGCCTAAAGGCACATAGACAAGTTTGTATTTTACTAAACAAACACTAAAGTTCATTTCATTTGGTTGAAAAATTCCTTCCAAGTAATCAGCAAATAGTTCACCTTTATCCCTGTTCCTTTTTGCCTATGATCCCTCCACTCTTTTCAGTGGGGAATTCGCTTTATCGGTTTCTTGGTACTCTTCGTTGCTTTTCCCAACCAAGCTCTTCATTTCTTTAGTTGCAGGTAAGCTCTTTATATAATTCTCGTATGAAACTGATTTAAAATTTTCTATTTTTCTATTTTTTATTTATTCATAACCATTTTATTGTCTGGGGGACGCGACTCTTGTCATTTATGTCTAACCCTTCTTTTTTGTGCTATTAAATCTGTATTATTCTAAGGATTACATGACACACAGGTTTGAATTCAGAGAATTTTTTTTTTGTATTTTTCCAGGCGGCTTTCTGTATCAATTTGATAAAATCCTCCACTTCAGAACCTATTTGATCTCTAGCCTTCAGTTCAGCATTAAGATTTATATTTCTAACAACATCATTTTTGAAACCTGCCCAATCTTTTGTTGACTAAAGTGAAGCGTTTCTTAGCTATTTTCTCACTAACGATTAATATGACAGCAGAGTGATTGCAATTCAAATTAAAATCATCTTCAAGTTCAAAAATTTGCTAAAATCCTTTTAGATATAGAAAAATAAAAAAAATCCGGGACCTTGTTAGCATCAGTAGGCCAATAAGTCGGACTGCCAGTAGAATGATGGGAACATCCTAACTACCGAATGGCTCCCTTTGTCCCTCTCCTCTATTTAATGTTAAGAACTATAAAAATTTTGATGATTTGTCACAAAATAGAGAACAACTTAATAATAAGTTTTGTTATCCAACTTACCATAAATTTCTCTTAATTGTCTTGCTACTTTATATAGTTTACGTTTATCTTAAAAAAAAAAAAAAAAAAAAAACAAAGAACAAAAAAAAATTGCTGCACTTTGGCAAAATTTTTGTGTTTGTCCTACGCTGTGGCATCTCTTACGTCGCGAGACGGACCAACTCCTTCTAAGAGTCTCAACTTTTACTCCCACGTGCTGAAGCCTTATATATTTAATTTATGTCTTCGGTATAATCGAAGGAAAACATGAAAAGGCACAACTTTTTAATAATACTGACGTCGTTTTCTTTTATTGTTTTTATTTTATTTATGACTTGTACATATTAGAATCCTCTTTAGATAAGTTCGCACTCAATATCCTCGGCTCGCATGATGGGTGTAGGTTTCAAACCGTTAATTTAATTGGCTTCTTTTATATATTTTCGTAAGTACGCCGTTCCAATTTGGGTTTATTAACAGCTTTAGTTGATTTTCTACATCCATTTTCATTTTTAACATTTATTTTTTGTTGATCATTGTTCATCATGTTTACATTCACACAATTATTAGCGATGGAGATTTTTCTACTTTAGTGCTATTAATTTCTAATGCCGGTTCTATTTCTTATGAACTTTTGGCTTTTTTCTTCTTTGAGTTTCTTCTGGTTTTTAATGTCCGATCGGTTTTACTGGCCATTCTACTCATCTGATTCGTATACGACCACAATTATTTTATTTCTCTCAGTGCCATTTAAAACTGTATTCTGCTGCCCCAATAATCTTTAATTCTCTGCCTTAGGTTTGCAAATCTCTTTTTTTAACCCTTTACACAGGTTTTCCAAATCGCTTATACGCAAATCGATCATTAGTCCACTTTCTTGATCCGTTGAGCTCTTGCCAAACGGTTTCATTAATTTTGCCAAGTGTTCTTTTTTTCTACTGCCATCTTCTCTGAGCGTCTTGAACATTCAGCCAAGCTCTCGCCGACAGCCATGGTCTCTGTAGCCGCTTTGGCAGATGTCTCTACCGCATTTATATTCTTAATATTGGAAATTTTGTTTATTATTATAATTTATATGACTATTAACCCAGCAAGGTTTTTCTACAACCGTGCTCTGGGATCAGACGAGGACGCCATCCATTCTGGACCAAACTCGCATGATACTCTCCAACATCCACGCGAAAAATATAATCTAACGCAATCTCTTGCAGGCAAAGTATATGTTAAAAATATTAAACTAATTGTTCAATAAAAAATTTGCCAACAGTTCAGAACATGTTTATTCATGTCGCTGAAAAACTTTGTTGCGATCAAGAAACGCTATCTCATTTAAATATATCATATTAAGTATATTAAAATTATTTATATTAAATATTTCCATCTTTAATAAAAAAGACCTAAATATATTGATGCCTTTTTTTAGCTTTGATTTAATGCAAATGGATAATTATGGGTGGAATCATTCTGACGCGCATTTTGATGGAATGATGGGTCATTTTCAACATGGCACAATAGATTTTGGTGTTAATGCCATATTTATGCGTTTAGAACGTTTTACGTTATGTGATTTTGTGTCAGAAACTATTAATATCCGAGCATGCATAATATTTCGTCAACCACCACTTTCAGCTGTAGAAAATATTTTTACTTTACCGTTTTCACTTGATGTTTGGATATCGTGCATAATTTTTATAGTAATTACAACTATTCTTCTCATCATTCATATAATTTTTCACCCAATGTCAAATAACGTGGATTTGAAAGAGTCACTAATTTTTGTCTGGGGTGCTGTATGTCAACAGGGATTTCATGTAGACTTTTCTTCTGCATCTGGACGTTATATCGTTCTTACAACGTTTATATCAACATTATTCTTATTTACATCATTTTCGGCAAATATTGTTGCATTGTTGCAAAGTCCTAGCGAAGCTATAAAAACTGTGAAGTATAAAAAGCAAGTTAAAAATATGTAAGTATGTAGAAAATGATATATTTCCTTTTTTACAGCGACTTAAGTCATTCTCCACTGGACGCTGGTGCTCAGGATGTGAAATATAATAAAATCTATTTTGAAGAAACAACTGATCCAGAAACTCAAGCTCTTTATAAGAAAAAAATCGCTCCGAAAGGAGAAAATGCTTTTATCAGACCACACGAAGGCATGGAAAGCGTTCGTAAAGGTCTCTTTGCATACCAAGTCGAATCGCAAGCCGCTTATCAGGTAGTAAGTGCTACATATGATGAACATGAAAAATGTGGTCTGAAAGAACTTGAACTATTTCAATTACCTGTTATGGCAATTCCAGTTAAAAAGAAATTCCCCTATAAAGAATTATTCAGACAACGTTTGAGATGGCAACGTGAGAATGGGCTTATGAACAGAGAATTCAGAAAATGGTTACCAGCAAAGCCACTGTGCGAAAACAGAGTTGCTGGTTTTGTATCAATTGGGCTAACTGAGAGCCGATATCCATTACTGTATTTTACTTTTGGATGTGGAATAGCGTTACTTGCTTTGATTTTGGAATTACTCTGGCATCACGCAAAAAGACAATTAATGCATGATACAAAAGAATAAACTTTTTCACCTACTCTCATATGTGTCCCCTATTTATCTATAAATTTACTCTTATAATTAAAGCCTTATAAATTAAAATTGCATTCTATCAAAGTCTTTGACTTTTAAAATACGGTGTAGTAATACGGTATTAATACACACTTACTTAGCTTATTAACTTGAATTACTGCATTGCGTATTCATTTAATATTATCATAATGTCGATGTCAAGATAGCTTTATTTAAAACTTAATTGTGCAGATAACAGAATTTAGTTGTTTAAATATAAGTGAAATTTTAAATTGTATTTAGACTTGCATTTTTGCGGACATTTAATTTAATACTTAAGGCACCAATATGACATTTTTGACACAGCATCAAAAAAAATTAAAATTTTTGCCAATTAAATATAGCAAGTTATTTTGATAACCGACTTCAAATCACAGGTATACTGTATTGATAAACAATTCAGTTCATGAAGCACTCTACTAATGCAAGATTAAGACAGGAGCTCTTAAACTCATACATTTTCAAACTATATTAAAGTTTGCAAAACCCATTATTGTTTTTCTTAAGAAATATACTATTTTATATAATTTAAGGTAAATTATTGACGTTAGTAAATGAGAAATTCTTTGTTTGTGTGATGTTTTTGCTAATTATTTAAAACCATTTTTTTTCAAATTCGTAAAATGAGACATTTATGTAAGATTTTTTTTTGCTTACTTTCCAAAATGTATAAAGGTAACAATTCTTACAATATAAGTTAATCAAATACGATTTTTTTTTATTGTAGCCTACGATTTAAATCGTAGCTGTCTGATTTTCAAAGATATTTTACAATTCTTCAAAACATTTATAAAACCCACGCTTTTATTTATAAATTTAAGAAAATATAATAACACATATTTATTCAAACAAAAGCATATAAATAGTAAAAATTTAACTAGTTATCTTATAACTACGCAGATTTAATTCTACTTCAGACCTATCAACTAACACTGATTGAATTACCATTATTGAATATAATATTTCTTTATTTAATTTTTAAAAACGCGTATAGCATCATTTTATTTCAATCTAGTCGCCAGTCCATTATACAATTTCAAGCAATTAAACAAACAATTATTTTTCTCCTATTATGCAATTATGCATTTATTTTTCTGCAATTATTTCTCCGTTCTAAATAGTGACAAATAAAAATTTGGACAATTTCGCGTATTGTAACTTTATATATCAATTTAGCAAAAATTGAATATTTTAAAGTTAATGAAAAATTTTTTGTGTATGACATCTAGTTTATTTAACATCTCTTGACTGGCACCTCCCTACACAGGAAAACTATGCGAGTCAATATAAAAAAGAGGAATAAATGGTGCATAACGCGTTGCCAGAAATAAATTTATGAACCCGGTATAAAATAAAAATATATGGGAAAATCTTAACCTAAATAGAAAAACCCAAATACTTCAGGTTGTCGACAGGGACCTTTAAATTCTCTTGCCTAGTAATAAAATCATTGTTTTTCCAACCTTCATCTTTTTCAGGCCACCCTCAAAGCTAAAAGCTTTCAGAAGGACTTCTGTCACAGATGCATATTTTATTACCGCATAATAGAATGGAGCCCAAAAGGTCCAATCATACTCTGATATTGACGGTTCAGAAGTATTTTCCGTCTTATGTATAGTTATGACTTTCGCCGTTTTAAAGGACTGTGGAAAAATTGAATTCAAGAAGGAACTGTTTTTCTGTTTTTTAACTTAACAAGTACAGGAGCAAGATAAATTTTGTAGAAATTCTATCACAGCCAGTCGCAGCAGAAGATTTTAAAGAAGAAATTGTTTGTATAACTTAACTCGTGCTTGTGGAGCAGAGTTGAAAATTACTACTCGTATAAACGGTCGTTCGATTCCTATTGATATATGAAATAGCTATCGGATTGGTAGGTATGTCAAATATTTGAGACGCGTTAATATAAATTTATATAAATATAAATTTAAATTATTTTATTGTAAAATATAAATTTATTTTTCCTGCTATTGTGACTGCAATCATGCAAACCTCACCGTCGATATTTAAAGAGTTAGCCATCAGAGAAAACCATTAAAGTTTTCATACGATTGATATTCAGCCAAAAGTTATCTGATTAACCTTCCCCGTAATCCGAAAAGATTTTGTTGGGTATTTCAATACCTAATATTCAAATTGATGAGAAACATTTCATACCCAAATAGTGAATATGTTTTGTAAGATCGTTTATTCTGTCTTGTAAAATTGAATTTATATTTGCTTGTCGATTGTTGTTTTCAATCAGTATATTATTTTTTGTTGATAAAAGTTCGTAATCGTCATGATCAGGTGTTTCTGCTATAAATTCTAATGCACTGCCAAGGAAGTTGATTGATATAGTCATACGCTTTGGAATTTCTAGGATATGCATTGCATGTGAGATTTCTTCTATTTGTTGATTTAAAATACTACGATGCCATGTTGCGTTTTGTAATTGTTCAAGGTATTCCCAATTTTCTGTAATAATTTCTTGATAGTCCGTAAGATTCGTTATGTGGGAAATATAGAAGTTCAAAATTAAATTCTTCATAAATTGCTACATTCCTTGCGTTATGGCAATAAAGTGTGCTGAAGAGTAGTCTATTATTTTAGATAAGGTCAGCCGAGGGATGACGACGAAAAATACTCTGAAATTAACGGAGATCACTTTTATGGATTTTTCTACCATTTATTAATAATGTTGTCCCTAAATCTTTTTCTACAGTTTTTTCAACAAAAATTTTAGAGAATTTATTGCCTAAGCGTTTGTTGATGCGCAAAAAAACTTTGTCACCCGATTTGTATGTTTTTGTATTAGAGTTCGAATTAAATCTGCTGAGAGTTTTTCCATGGGAATGTCTAAGTTTTGCTTTTAAATTTTCGATGTGTTCCGTGGAGTGTTGATGAAGTATATTGATTGGTTTCTCATTTATAACAGAATGAATGGAATTATTGTATTTGTATGTATTAAATCAGTATTAAAATCAGGCTAATAGTATTAAATCAGTAGTTTCAATGATATTTTGTTGCTCTTTGATACAGCGAGCGATTTCAAGTAGTGTCGCGTGAAATTTCTCAACTTGACCGTTGCTTTCGCTGTGAAGTGCGGAATAAAAAATTGGTCTATTTCAAAGTGGTCTCTTAGGAATGTTTTTATAGAATTAGCATTAAATGCCCTTTCGTTATCTGAAACTTTAGTGTGGATCTCTAGTGTGGACCTTGATGCTATAGGTTTAACAATAGCAAATTTCAAAAGTTTATCAATACATGTTAGAAAATGTTGTTTGTTTGTAATTAAAATATCTATATGAAGGATTTCTCCTGGAAAGTTCGGAATGGGTGTTTTTCCAATTTGCGGTTTCGGGGGTTTGCGTTGGTATTTATTTTCCATACAGATTTTACAATTCTTAGTTAAAGATTTTAACATATAACAGATTTCCTCATATTAGGAAAGTAATATTCACTTTCGATCTGCTTGAGGTTTTCTTGCATAGACCTATGCGCTCTATTATGCTCTGTAGTCATCACCTCTATCTGATCGTCTTTATTTATTAAATCTGTTACAAATTTATCAGTGTGGATAAATTTAACACCAGGAAAATTAATCGAAATTACATTTTGAATTTGGGCTAAGGTTGTCAAGTCGCAGTGTATCGCATTTGTGACATCGGTGTTTATACAAAATTTGAGACATTTCAAGAGATCTTTAAAGGTTTTAAAATTAATAGTGTGTCTAATGTTTTTTTGATAAATGATTTTAGTGGTTTTACTGTTATGTGGAGATTGAGAGAGAATTGGTTACTGGGTATTTAATTGTTTTTATTATGTTTGTGCTCGATAATTCACTATGCATTGTGCCGCTATTGTCATTATTTGTTAGATTATCAATGTACTGTCTAGAAAAAGCATCAGCTACTATGTTTTCTTTACCAGGTTTGTAATGAAATGTGGGCGAAAATTCTTCAATAAATGCTCGTCATTTTTCAATTTTGTGTTTGGATTTTTATCAGATATAGCGAATATTAGTAGTTGACGATCTGTGTAAATGTGAATGTTATTAATTCCACATAAGCAATGCCGCAAGGATTTTAATGCCCACACAATGGCAAGAAGTTCTCGCTCATTTGTGGCGTAATTTTCTTCAGATTTCGTGAGAGTTCGTGATATCATGGTAATGGGTTTTCCACATTGTGACAAGACTGCACCGATGGCTACTGAGGATGCGTCTGTGGTAAGTTCGAATGGTTTTTTATAATCGGGATAGGGTAGAAGTACGTCTTCTGAAGCAAGAATTTTTTTAATACGATTAAAGGCGGTTAGGGAATCCGTGTCTAATTTAATTTTAACTTTTTTTGACTGGTTTATCCCTACATGTCCATTTTCTCCTCTAAGATACTTAGTTAAAGGCTTTACAATGTGGGCATTCAAAGCTGATTTTCTTCTGTTTGATAAAGTGCGTATGTAGCGCACGAAATATATTAGCGAAAAATAAAAAGTATTTTATTCCGAATAAAAGGAAGTTTTCTTTTCACACCAATAAAAAAAAAAATTATATTTCGGAAAAATTATCAACCATTGAAAAAAAAAAAATTTTTGAATGACAGGTTTTCCCGATATAATTCCTCAAAACGTAATCAATGGCTCTTTGGAAAATGCTAGGAGCATTTTTCAAGTCAAACGGCAATCTGCAGAACTCATATTTGCCGTTATTTAAAATAATCTGGTGGAAACTGGATTTTAAATCTAAGGTAGTAAAGAATTTAGATTTTTCGAAATTAGCTAAAATGACCGAAGTGTCCGGTATAGGGTACCGGTCAGGTATGGTTTTTTCGTTAATTTTTCTGAAGTCAATTACCATACGTAATTTGGGTTTTCCGTTTTCATCAACGCCTTTTTTATTAACAATATGATTGGGTGAATTATAGGGAGAGTTAGATTCTCTAATGATATTGTTTTTCAGTAGTGTTGCTATTTCTTTGTTGACGAAGTCAGTTGCAGAGATTGGATAGGGGTATCCTTTGATGTAAATTGGTTCATTAGTTGAAGTTCTGATTGTTGTCTTTACCTGAGTATTATACGGTAAGCTTTGATTGGCTTCCGCGAAAACTTTTATATTCCTTTTTATAAGGTTGTCAAATTCATTTTTGATAATTGCTGGGACTGACTCATTATTTATTGTTACTAAGTTGGCTTGTTCAGATGAAACGTGTTGCAGTTTTTCTTGGCCTGTATTATGGAATAATATTTCTTTTTGAAAGTTGATTAAAGCGTTAATTTTTTTAAGAAGATCATATCCGATTATACCATCAAAGGTTTTCAAACCTGGGAGTATGAAGAATGTTGAGTTTTTACCCAAAATATTAATTTTGCATTTTCTTGTGATTAAGTTACTAACATTAATTGATTTGACTACAAAGGGTTTGTCCACTGGTGAACCATTGTTCAGGAAGGCATGATTTTTTATATAGTTTTTTAAAAAATGAACATCTTCAGTAATGTTATCATCTTCTACAGATTCATTATCATCTTCTTTGTCGGAAACAGACATATAGTTTAGTTTTTGAAATTTTTGTAATGGGGACTTATCTGAATTATAATGACCACGGGGACGTTAAGTGTTTGTAGGGTATCTTTAATTTGGTTGATTAGGGTTAGATCGATTAAAATTGGGCTGAATAAAATTAATTTGGTTTTGTGGAGCTGTAGCTCTTAGTTGGGTCGTTCTTCTAAATTGAGAGCTTCCCGGATCTACGTCCATTGGCGTGATTTGATTGGAATCATAATTATTCGGTCTTGCGGTTTGTATTTTAAAGTTATTATTATTAGAATAACCGGCAGCAAATGTTTTGGCGAAATCGTATCGTTTATGATTGACTTCCAGTTCCTACGCTGTTGCCACAGTTTTTTTTAAATCCGCAGGTTTAGCTGAGAATAGGATATCACATAGTGGTCATCGTAATCCAGAAATAAACGCTCTAAGGCCAGCGTCACGTGCTCGTTCGTTTATAGATGTTGTCAGGTCTTTATTATTTGAATTAGTCATAACATTTTTATTAATAATGAGCGTTAACTGTTTGTCTACTTTGTCATAGTATTCTGAAATAGTAAGTCTACCTTGTCTTAGAATGCTTAGTTCACTTTCCAAGACATGTAATGGGCGTTTATCTGAGTAAGTTTGGTCTAGTCTATTGAGAATTGCGTTAAAGTTCAGTACTCTGTTAAAGGCTGCAAGGGTTGCATTAGCAGAATCTGTTATTTTATTACGCAGAATTCCTGTCGCAACATAATAGGTTTCTGAGCCTGTTCCTCCATGCTGGATACGCTGTACTGTCGCTTTGGAATTCTGGAAGAGATTTAACAAGATTTAAACTGGTGTGAGTTTCTTTAACTCCAGGTTGAATAGAGACTGGTTGAAATGTTTCTACAGGAGTAGGGTGCAGATCATGAATCATTGAATTGTAAATTTGGACTGAGAATTCATTTTTAGTCCGTTCTATAACGGCAGTAATTGGTTCTTGAACTTGGTCTTTTGTTATATTCATCTTGCTAATAATAATGGCAAGATTACAAAAATTGTGTTAGCATTTAATATTTATTTTATGTTAGTTATTTTTTAAATATAATAATTTTTTAATTTAATATTGGGGTTTAATATTTTAATATTTGTTCAGTTTTATAAACTTTTAATATTTATTTTAAAAAATTTAAACTTTAAATTTTTTATTAATTTATTAAAAAAATTTCATTAATTTGATAAATAACGCAATTTTTTAAGGGTTTTTATTTAAATAAACTTTAAGTTAATTTTACAAATTACTGTAACCCACTATTTTGGAGGGTTTTGTATTCAAAAGTAAAATTAATTTTCGAGAAAAATATAACGATAATTTCACAAATTACTCTAACTCATTATTTTGGAGGGTTTTAGAAGCAAAAAAAATATTTTACTATAACTGTCTCTTTTTAAGAGGGTTTTAAAATTCAAATGTGAAATTAATAACCGAAACCGAAATTTAAAAAGATATTAATCAATCTTGACTTACAACAGTTTCATGTGGAATTAATAATAAAGCAATAAAGCAGCGATATGTTATTATTGGATCCTTTGGGCCTTGTCCTTATTGATTTTTTTTTCTCTATGGCCCCAAGTTGGGCGCCAGTTAATAGTTCCTTTAAGTTCTTATTCAAAATTGCACTGTGTTTAAGGCAGCCTCACCTTAGAAATAATAATGGCTTAGTTCACAGTGTTTGAATAAAAAAGAACGTTTAAGGTTTAATGTTATCTTTATTCTGCCTTTTCTTTAATAATTACAAGCTTTTTATAATAAAAATATTGCATAATAATCAATTTCAAATATCGTGTGCGTTTAACATAAAAAATCAATTTCAATAACAAATTTATCGTATCCTAAATTGAATAACAAAAATATTGCAGCCTAATCAAATTTGGAAAATAAGATATTATTGAATACTATAGGAACATATGTTAACTTACAGTATATATATGTACCTATTCAAGGTAGTAATATGTATGTAACCCGTTTATATGGCTGCTTCAAGCTTATTATTGTCTATATAAATGTTACTTGACTTAAAGCCGGCTTCAATTAAGTCGCTTACTTGACTTAAAATGTTAATAATGATTTGAAATTTGATAGCTAAACTTTGTTTTTGGGCTTAAAAAGCGAACACAGCAAAAACGCAGCTTGAGTTTCGAGCTGATTTCACGTCAGCGGCAATGAGGCTGACGATGCGTAGAAATTAAGCAATTTATAAAAAAAAATGCCTAGTACAGATACGTGTGCATGTATTTATATTCACAAGAAATATTTGTTTTAAATTTTTAAAACAAAATTGAAATAAAAATAATTTTTTATTTTAATAGTCAAATTTTGTTTTTAAATCGCTTCACTTTTATAATATGGATACACCATTTCTGCCACCTCGTAGTGGAATAAATTACAGAAATGAAATTCCCGCTTTCAAAATTCTTAATATTTTTTGCTATACTTTATATACGAAAAAATAAGGTATATTGCTTAACTCTTTTAGCTAAAAGAATTTTTGGTATACAAATATGTATTGGTTTGCAATCAATTAGTGTGGTGTAAACGGAGTAACAACAATCTACATAAAAACGTAATAACAATCTACGTAAATATTTTTAGGTCTTCATCAACTTTTTTATGGAAACAATATTTGTATAAAAGATTAAAGATTTTATCAAAAAACGTGACATTAAAAAAATTACACTCGTTTTTTCATTTCATTTTTGTTTAAAAATGATTTTAAATCAAATTTCGTTTATGACAACAATTATATTTTTTTCGCAATTTTTTAAAATCTAAAAACAACAAGTCTGAAACAGAATTTTGTAATGAATTGGCAGCAATCAATATTTTTTAGCAATTAATAAAGTATGAATTATTAGCAATTAATATTTTTTCTTCTGTTAATTAGTTGCAATAACTAATAAGAATATATGAATTGCAAAGGTGTTGAACGAAGTATATTTAATTTTAAAAATATATACTATTGATATATATTTTTTTGTTATTAAAAATTAACTGGTTTACATATTTATTACATTTTTTAGCTTTGTAAAGACTTTTTTTACGATTTTGTGGAATTATATTCAAAACAAATTTCAAGAAACTTATATCTATAATGTACCTGCTTTCAACACTTCGCATTTATACTTCAAATTAAAAATGACAAGATAAAAAAATTTTCTTTTGATTAATAAATACGAAATATCAGCGTTAGACGTATCTTTCTCGATAACGTACATATTTCAAACAAGATTCTCAATTTATTTTTGTGTGTTGTGCAACTGATTTTGTAAAAAAATAATAAAATAATAGCATTTTCATAAAAAAAGGAAAATAATATTTTCTAATATAAACGCAAAAATGTAGTAAAAATGTCGTTGCAGTAGTATAGAATGCCAAAGTGTAGTAAAATACTACATCCAGTTCTTGCATGATTTTCTGCAAGATTGACTTTTTTGATCAAAAACGTGTTTTCTTTTTTAATTGTTACACTTTTCCAAAATGCGTTCTATCCGCAGTGGATACGTAAAATGAAAGTAGATTGGGTATCGAAAAAATCGAGCACGCATTTTTTATACATGTCATATAAATGCTGCCAGAAATAACTAATTAAATAAACTAGTATACATTTTCAGCAATGAAGTGCTAGTTATTAAGTTTTTTTTTTCTAAAATGCAGCATAAAAATCCTGTTTTTAATAATTTGGTAACGTTTGTTAAAAATTAACATTTGCACAAAGCTTTAATAATTCAAATTTTCAAACAAACGTCAAAATATGTATTAATATTGTAAAAATTGCTGAAAATATATGCTTGTTTATTTGATTAGTTATTTTTGGCAACATTATATTACATGTATAAGAAAAACATGCTCGATTTTTTCGATACCTAATTTACTTTTATGTAAAATAAAAGTATCCACTGCGTATAGAACCCATTTAGGAAAAATCTATAATGTCAAGAGCTTTTACTAAACTTTTTGGAATGTGATACTTTGTAAAGTTTACTTCGTAAGCGCATTATTGAACTCACGGACAGTCTTGGCGAAACACTGGTTCCGGTCCTGATGGAAGGCCACTAGTTGTGGTGAAAAAAATGTAACAAACTGGTTTATCCACTATGTATTTTATTTTTAAGTATCCTTCTAGACCTTTGAAAACTTTTTAAGTTTATTATTAAATCGAGTTCTAAATTAGATACTAGGAAATTATAGAGCTATTGGTAAGTTCTCTCGTATAAAAATTTTTTAGATTTTTTTTTGGCTATAAATGAAAATTTTTTGCAAGGGTGATATAAGTCCACTTCACTTGTTGCACAACTTTGAAAACAGCAAAAGTAAATATTGAACATAATGTGTACTTATTTTATTCAGAACAATAAAAGAGAATCGAATATAAAGAAAAGAACTCAAATGGAAATTATTGTTTATTACTTACTGCTTAATAATAAATCTTTGAATTAGAATTGTAAAATTTTAATTTTTAGCCATTTTTTTAAACAAAACTGCACGTATTACAAAAATTTTTTACACTACATTTGTCATCAATTTCATTTTTCTGAAAATTTTTATCCTCGTTTTATATTAAATTTTGGTCATTAACTGTGACTCTTTCAAATAATACGACCATTTCGGTATGTGCTGTGTGTGGGAACATATCAACAGCTACTGCTAACTTAGGAAAAAAAGGTTGACCCTTGTAAGATTTAGACTCTGGCCTAGCTAAATCCAACCAATTTCTCTGAGCACTTTTTGGATTACATGATATATAAACTAATCGATTTAAACCATGTGCACTTCTCAAAGCAAGAATAGAACGGTTATCTAAAAAATTTATTAATATTATGAATCAAAAATTTTAGAAAAATATTAATAATCAAAATAGTTTTCTAACACTTACGTAGACCTGCTCTTGGCGGATCGACAATTGCAACAATGTCTAATTCATTCTTTTCAACATTTTCATAATATGTTTCTCTAACCATGGTTTGAATGTAGTCATCTGAGTTACCAGTAAAAAATTTACAATTTTTAATATTGTTTTCTTTTGCGTTATATTCAGCATCTTTAACTGCGTCAGGAATGATTTCAACGCCTAAGACTTTTTTACAATGCTTCGCAAAACATAATCCAATAGTTCCGGTACCACAGCAAATATCTAATACAATAGTATTTTTCGTTGGTCTGGCCAGCTCTATAACTTTTTCATATAAAATACCAGCACCTTTCGTATTTATTTGGAAAAAAGCTAAAGGGCTTATTCTAAATTTAAGGCTATGTATTTCGTCAGTTATATAAGTTTTCCCAAGAAGATGGTCTACTGGATTCATCATTTGACCAGCATCGCGGCGATTCAAATCTTGATAATAAAGACTGTCGCACTTGAAAATATTTTCGTCGTAACTTCGGTAAAAATCTGTAACTTCATTTTTTAACCCTTCAATTTCTTCATTGTTTAAGTTTCCAGAGTATACGCCTATAATAAGCATAATTTCTCCACTTGTAACAGAGTTTCTTACACCCAGCTGTTTAAAATGACCTGAATTATTTTCTGGATTGAATATTTTGTATTTAGAGCTTATTATAAATTCTTCAAAAGTTTTTGCAGCCAATTTTACTTTCTCTGATATGTGGGGTAGCCCTTCCAGAGAGCCTACTTCCACTGAACCGTCTGCGTAGCTACCTAATCTAAACCCTACCACAATACTACCTTCCGCGTTTTTTCCAACTGCAAATTCCGTTTTATTACGATAACCATCAACCTGAGGAGAGAGTTTCAAGCCTAGAAATTCACACGGCATATCCATACTATTACTTTTAAAGCATAAATTTTTTGCTTGTGGATTAAGTTTTTTTAATTCACATCCAAAAACTTTTAACAGTTCTTCCATTTCAATTTTCTTTTTAGTCACCTGCTCCTCGTACTTTAAATGACCTAAGGGGCAAGTGGCCTCAAGACAAGTTTTTCTTCTTTTTGACAATCCTGGGCAACTATTTTCTTCCCGACGTTTCCTTGCTAGTGGATCTGGGGCTGCCTTCGCTGGCTGAAATTCAAAATATTACAGGTTTCAATTAAATATTTGTAGTAAATTTAAAAATTACCGATACGCTCAATATTTTCCCTTTCCATTTAAAACCATTCAACTTTTTTAGTGCGCTTTCCTGATCTTCCTGTGTCCGAAAACACACATACGCAAAATCTCGCCTTCGAGGGGATTTAATTTTGCTTGCATCCAATGAAAATTGGTTTCTTAGTAATTTTTTCAGTTCCTGCAATGTTATATTAAAAATTTAATCCACACGAACCTTTTATTGCCTAATTCGAAATAAAGCTAACATTAAAAATAACAATAATCTCTATACCTACACCTATTCCAAATATTCCTAAATTCCGAATTTCGATCTTGAATATCTCGGAAGTAAATTCTTCACGCTCAAGATAAGAAAAATCTTCAGAAATTTTTATCTCAGCATTGAGACTCATATTATCTTCCATATTAAAAAAATTAATGTCCTAGGTTGTAAACAAAATAACCTCGTGTTCTGATGCTAACGCTAGGCTGCTTATTATGCAAATTGTTAATTCCTTTAAAATTTTAACATAAATGTGCACACGTATCATAAAAAGCGAATATGTAAGTTAAATTGGAAAATGAATAACGTTAAATTTGTCTTTGTATTTACTTGAATTAACTTTTTTATTCTTCAAAAATTTCTGTTTTGATTTTTATTTTTGAAGTTTGAAAAGTCGAATGTCAATAAGAAATCTTTACTGGTTGCGTTTTCATGTCAATCAAAATTGACAATCAATTGAAGGTACGCGAGAATTAACGTTTACATGACAATAAATTTTTTCCAATTCTTCTACGTATATGCACTTTATATTTCAAAACTTAAAAACTATCAAATGATAAATCGCAGCAAAAACGGAAAAACATTAAAATAGTTGATCACAGCCTACTTTATTCGAAAACTCATCTTTACACAATTTTTTAATTTATTGTTGCCAAAAATTATTGACGAAAATATAACCAAAGCCTATTTTTTCATCGATAAAAGTTTTATAAAAATGGTGGATTGATGATGTTTAGTTGGTCAATTTTCATCAATCTGAATCATGATTGTCAATCTATGATTTACATGTAAACACTGAGAAATATTGACTGATTATTATGATAATTCACATTTCGTATGTTCATGAACTTAGGTGAAACTTCAAAGTTGAAGATTCAATTTACTCGTTTACTCGTTTTCGAGCTACAGTTTTGGCGAGCTGCCATAGTTTTCGAGATGCAGCTAGCAAAAGTCAGAATTTTTGTTTTTCAATTTTTTTAATAAAACTCGAAATTTTTCCAAAATTTTTGGACTTATATTTTTCCCTTTTTTTCTGTTTTTTTCGATCCGCGACGATAAGAGCAAAAAAGTAACCCATATAACTTTTTTCTCTATTTCTCATAGTTTTGTCAGTAAAACATGTTATATATGTTCAAAAAACATGCGAAAATGCATATTTGAGCTGGTTTTTTTGAAAGTATATAAGTCTAATTTTTAAAAAGACTAAGTTAATGGTAATTTTGATAAGCTATAGAGACCTTCTCTCTACAGTTACAATTTCAATAGAGTTCTGTTTAACATAAAACAAACAAAATATATTATTATGGTTAATATTTTTAAATTGATTCAAATGCAAAACCTTAAATATCTCAATATATGAAAAAATGGACTTACACCACTTTTAAAAAAACCAGCTCATTTCATACTTCATTAAAAGTCGCATATATTTATTAGACATTCATCTACATGTAGTCTAAAATTTTTTGCCAGAAAAGAAAAATATGTTTCCCATTTTCTAATGAGCTTAAATGAAACATGTATTACTATTAACCAACTGTTGTCATACGATTTATTCTTAGGAAAGTAAATGGAAAGAAATATGGAATAAAGGATAAACAAAGGAAATAAAAAATAATGATATTATTAAAACAATTTTTTTCTAAGAATCTGGTTTTTGCGTGACGTATTTTATATTATGATATTTATCATAATCAACAACGGTGCTTATAAGCGTTCTATTTCTTGATCTTTAATATTCTGATTTTAACTTTTCTCAATAATCTACTTTTTCGAGAACATGAAAAAATTGTAAATGATATTTCTTCGAATCGCCTGGTTTATAATATGGTAATGCACGTATACTTAAAGTAATTATCCAAAGCAAAATTTTAGAATTTCTCTATAATATGTAAAGTATTTTAGCAATTTTAAGAAACTTTGTTAAAAAATTTCAATTTTTAACTTTTAAGCGAAAGATTAATTTAGAAAAATATATTATTCCTTCTACAAATTGAATATTTTAAAAATTTAGTAAAAATTTTCTAAACCTATATACCTAGATTTATTTTGTTGTAAATAACTAAATAACGCTTAACTGCAAAATATATGTACATATATAGAAATTATTTTATTTCGCTTTAGTAATAAAAATTAAATTTCATGTTCTTATACAAACTAGAATAATAAATTACAGGTAGCAAAACATTTTTTAAGTAAAACAAAAATAGTAAATACATAAAACGATTGTTTTTTAAAAAAAAAATTTTAATTCACTTTTATTGCCTACATAACATATTTACAAAAAGAATAAAATTTTTATTCCATTTTTTTTAAAACTAGTAATATTTGATGAGAAAACCTATACATTTTATGACATAAATATTACAAAATTATTTAATTTTTTTTTATTAGAGATTAAATTACTTACTTATTTAAATTGTAAAAATCTTAACATTAGTAAATAATTAATTAAATTATATTTGCCACAGGCAACAGAATAAAATATAAAGCTCTTACTATTGCTTCTGCATCCTTTAACGCAACACTTTCGAGGCATTTGTATTACATGAACGTAATCAAATATACTATTATATTTTATTTAAATATGATTACAATAAAAATTTTAAAAAGTACACTAAATCTTACTAATTTATTAAGTGATTTTTTCTTTTCAAATAAATTTTAGTTTTTTTTTTTCAAAATCCCATTTGTTTCATACTAAATATTACGAACAAAGAAAAAATTTATTTATATAAATTATAATTAATATTTAATAACACAAAAAAATTAATATAATTATTCACTAAATTAAAATTAAATTTTAAACAGTAAATAAATTACTTTATAGCTCAGCGGCACAGCCTTCCTGTACGAAATGTATATATACGTATGGACCAGAGAAATGCCATAGTCTCATTTTGTGTAAAACTAATGTTAATGTCTTTATAATGTCTTTATATCTAACAAGTCCCAATCAGTGTTCCCACTCGGAAAAAACAAAATGTATCCAATTTCGAGAAAAAAATGTATCCAAAATGTATCCAACCTCGTAAAATAGCATTATTATAATAAGTCTCTTATTTTGTACAAATTAACCCATAATTAATATTAATTTGCTTCATTCCACAACATGAGTTTTGTTATTTATACTAAATTCTTTAAGAAATCACATACAACTTCTATTATATTTTAAATGTGAAAGTTAAGGTCAGAAAAAACATACGCATATATGCCTTCTGTAGTTGTTGAACTATGCGGTAAAGACGATTGACCATGAAAACGGACAAATTTTAAAAAATATGTACATCCAATGCATTTTCTATTACATCTAGCTAACACTAAAATATTTTTGGTACGTTCTTGTATGAATTTTCTAAATTTGAATACAGGAAGAGGCAGTTAATAAAGTATCTTTTTTACTTTCTTATAAAAAATTCGGAAGCCTGCTTAGAATAGCCAGCAAATAACATTTATTGATGATAAAGCAACTTCGCGATTTAATATTAGCAGCATTTTAACTGTTTTGTAATATTTATTTAGTGTTTGAAAAAAAATGTATCCATATTTCAGTAAAATTTTAAAATGTAGCCAATTTCGGCATTTTAGCAGATTTGAGTATCTTTGTATCCAAGCTCAAATTTAAAGCAAAAATGTATCCAAATGGATACAATTGTATCCAAGTGGGAACGCTGGTCCCAATACTCAATTTTTTTTACGAAATAATACGAATTTTTGGCTTCGTTGCTGGTTTTTTCTTTAAATGCCACTGATCGTGTCATATTTTTTATTATTTTTTTCTTTTTTTTACGTAAAAAAGAGTTTAATATTTTAAAAAATCTCAGGATATTATACACATTTTTTAAAAAGCTTCCCATTTAAATTCTACTGCACGAAAAAGAAAGAAAGGTAGGAGGAAAGAAAAAATGAAAAAAAATTTCAAATTCATATTTCAGTATGATTTCAAATGTTAATGAGGAAGGATGTATGATTTTTCATGCACATTTTGTATTTCCCAATAAGGTAAGTTGAGTAATGTCGGCTAACAAAAATGTTAGTAAAAGTAATATAGGTTGACACATTTCAACAATTTGAATTATCTCATTTCGGTTATTTATACGTTACTTATAAAATTGTTTCAAATAATTTCAGTTAGTTTTTAAGTTATTAAAAATAAATATGTATGTACCTACTTTCAATAAAATTTTTTTTAAATTATTTTAAAACTATTTCAAACATATTATGCTTCAAAATTTTGTTGTGCTCTTCTTTCATATTTTATTAGCAGGTAAACAAGAGAAATCTATTTATAAAATGGTCCTACCTGTGTATGAATCTTAATAGTAAACGCAAACGGACAAAAATTTACATCAGTACCTACTACCTCTCATTTTACAATCGGAGTTTTTGAGTCATTTGCTATTCGTAAGATACTTAAAATTAAAATAAGGTAAAATAAGGTAAAATTTAGAAGTGTATACATATAAAATTTGTATTTAAAAAATAATATTTTATTGTATTTTAGATATTATTTTCTAATTCCCTCTTAAAATTTTTTCTTTACTATGTATTTATATCAATATTCAATAATTATCTTTCATTAATTATATTTTCAACTTGACACCAAAGTTACTTCCCATATCTTGAGTTAACTTACCCTATGAGAAAAAAAAGGTGTTCACTTAAAAATAATGAAATGCTTTCAGTAACATATAAAACGTTGAAGGCGAAGGATGTGCTTGTTGTTTTTCCGCTATTTCAAGAATTTTAAAATAATTCTGAATGAAAATATTAATATATTTTCTTGATTTTTCAAATATATTTTTAGAATTTTACCTGCTTTATAATAAGTGTAAATTTATTTTCATATTTCTTCTCAAAAAATAGCCACTTCGATTTAAAAAAACCCATATAAAATAAGGTCGTGCTTTCAAGTTTCTCTCTGAGCACTGGGACTTGTTAGATATAAAGATATTATTTTATGCTATAGAAACAAATACAAAAATATTAACAAGTCTTGTACATTATAGGAGTTATAGTCTCTGGTATTACGGAGTCTTGAGAATAAAGATGTCTGTGTATTTGGCATCTTCATAGCAAAAGTTTTTTGAAAAAATTTGTTATTTTTCATGAAATTTTAAACATTTTTATTTAAAAATTATTATAAATTTCAGTTTATTTTTATTATACAATTGCATTTAAAATTCCTTGTTATGATTCATTCTAATTGTGATAATTTCTTTGTTTGAAGTATTCGTTTTCTTCATGCGTGTAGGAATTTCATTATCACATACATAGATATTGAAATGTTTTTTGAAAATTAATAACTTTAAAATTGCTTTAGGAAAGCTTAATGAAGCTTGGTTTGCGTATTTTGAGAAACGAATGCATGTGTGATTCTTACAATAAATGTTTATAAAATGTTTGTAAAACAATACATGTTTAGGTTAGTTTTAGTCAAGTATGCACAAATTAATTGTAATCAGCAATTCAATAGTGTGCTTAATTTTTCTTTTTGAGAATTAAATACAAAGGTTTACTTAATAAATTTGTAATTGAAAATTCATAAAAAAATTTACTTATTTATTTTTAAATTTTTATGCTTAATTTCTAAATCTATTTTGCTCTTTCATATTTGTTTTATTTTAGCTGTATACATATATATTTTAATAAGTTAGATAATATCAAAGGAAGATACTTAGGTATTTTATAGTCATTGTTTAAAGTGACCAAACTTTGACATGATCAATCAGCATTTCAGGTTTTTGATATCGCCAACTATCATACCAATCATCTATCTTTGTAAAAAAGTTTAGTTCGGCTTTAGGATCAAAATTTTTCCAAGGTTTTAACTTATCTCTGAATACACCAGAATAACACTCATCTGGAAAATCTGACATTCCACCAGCAGATAACCCTAATTCTATATAAAACTAAACACAAAAAAAATAAGTCAAAATTAAATACATATAGGTACCAAATTTAAAATAAATTATTATTAACTTCTTTGTCAAAAGGTGCCATATTAGTATTAGATCCCCAAGTTTTCGCATATTTTAAATTATAACGTTCGTATAAATTTTCAAAATGTTGTTGATATAATTCTGAATAAACGTCTCCGTCAACCATTGTAGTTATAGAATCCTCTTTCCACATCAAAGTGAAGTTCTAAATAAAATATAAATATTAAAACAATTTCAAAATAAAATGTAGAAAAGGAAATTTTCTACAAATATATGTATATGTGTATGTATGTACATGAAATCGATTACCAAAATGTTCATCTATTGTTGTATTTTTCAACCACATTTCTCTTAATAATTCTCCAACAGCTAAAACGGCGCCACCATATACTTTTTGACCGCTAATATCTGTGCCGTTTGCATCGATTAAAGCCGTATTTCCTCTAACGAAAGCCATTCTTAGTTGGCCGGATGCATAATTTTCAATTCCGTAATAATTATCAGTTGGCTGGAGAAGTAGTTCTATCAAAACACCAACTAATGCAAGTAAACATTTAATAATAATAAAAATAAAAATTACATACCTGAAAACAGCCAATCTCCTTTGGGCACTTTTGCTCTTATTTCAACCTTACCATATCGAAATGAAAAAAAATGTTTTGTATTGAATTTTGCAGAGACAACTGGTGGTAGTATTGTAGAAAAACGGGCTTGTCGTTTGCACGTAGTACCGTCATTGACATTTGACGTACAGCTGAAAATAGAAATAGGTACTTAGATTTCATTTTGTATTTTACATATTATGTACACAATTAAAATTTTACGCCTAAGCTCCCCAAATTTTAAAACTTTCTTGAATTTTTACAGGTAAACATTTTTTAAATTGCCGCATTTCCCAATTTTGTCTTCATAAATTAGAGACTCAACAACCACTTAGTAAAAAAGAGCATTTAGGAACATGTAGAAAATAACTATACATACATATGTACATAAAATTAATTTTTATATTAGAGCTCTAAAAAATGACCAAGATGGCTTTTTGCAAACCTTAACTTATTACACTGTTTACGTATACAAATGCATAACTAGTTTTTGCTAATAACATTTTCAAAACAAGAGTGGCTATTGCAAATTATACAAGTTTATGAAATACAAAATTAAATTAATTATGAAATACAAAAATATGCATGCTTGTGTAAGTGAATATGAAGTATGTATTTGAAACAAGCAATAATTGTAATCCTCGAATAAATATTCTAACTACAGAGATCATTTAACTTACTTCTCTTTAAAATCCAATAAACCTGTCCGAATAGTTTCATAAATATAATCGCCTATGAACATTAGCAACTTTGGAATTATGTGCAGATATCCGCGAGATACAAAACTATTTTCCGGATAATCTTGGAAAGACACAAATTCAGCATCACCGCTGTCCGATCCGATTTGAATAACACGTTGCCATTTTTTCCAAACTAATTTATCAAACTTTTCTTCAAAAATCAGTTGACGACTGCAAACTTGACGACCATTTACAGTTGTCACTGACATCACGCAATTTTCTTCCTCACTAGTAATTTCAGAAATATTAATTTCATTTTTAGCCGACTCATAAATTGTTTCAAGTCTCGAACTTAACGAAGCATGCGTTGTAGTATTTATCGTTTTAATTGGCAAAATATATTTTTTATTTCCAGTTTTAAACGGAATAAAAATGCTGTTCCGGAATGTAATTGGATTTGGATTGTCATATGTAATTTTAAGATGATAATATAAGCGGTCCCCAGGATTCAAAGTTTTTTTTGAATATTCATAACTCCACCTCCCATCCACTGATTCATTTCTTGTTATAGTAAAATGAAAATCGGCTTTTGTATGCTTTTTTATATTTTGGTTAATTTTGCCACGAAAATTTATGCTTCTCATACCAAGGTCATCTAAATATAATGTAAAAATAATAAAAATTACGATTAAATAATACATAAACGTCGAAGTAAGAATTTTTATTTTTTTTTTTGAAATTTTTTTTATAAAACTCGAAATTTCTCGAGAATTTGTGTTATTAATTTTTCTTTTTTTCATTGCGCTATGAAATACAGAAATAAATTAATATTGTACGTTTTAATATTTTTGAAACAAAAGCTTTAAGTTTTGTATTATACAGCAAAATTATCTCACCTGCAAAATATAGTTTAAAGCCCCTGGAAGTTACTGATTCCAATATAGGTATTGGAGCTGTGTAATTTTTATTAATAAAAATCCTTTCAAAATCATTTTTCAAAAACATCTCGGTCGTATTAGTTTCATAAGAAAGAAATAAACTGCCTTGTTCGTAGATTGAGCTTTTATTATATTCTACAAAGATTGTGTATGTAAGCGTACTTCCAGGACTGATCAGTTGCCTAAGATTTTCAAAGACTACTTTCTCTTTATTGCTCACGAGTGTAAATTCTACAGGTTCAATGCGTTTATAACCCTTATGAATTACACCTCGTAGTCCGAATATAAATTTACCACCTTCATCTAAAACGTTATACATAAATAAATTTTTTTAATAAATTCTCTAAAACTTGTATAATTTAATTATTTTAAAAATTTAAATAAAATTTTTGAAGTATTAAAAATCCATGGATATCAAGCATCAAATCAAAAATTTTTAAATTCAACTACTACTTATATAGAATTAATTTTTGTATAATAAAAATGCATAAAAGCCCTTTAGAATAAAGGATTTTTTCACTTGTTGATTCAATATAAGTTATACTTTGTATTTTAAAAAGAATTATTTTATAAAATAATAATTAATTTGTTTTAATTTATTAAATTTAAAACGAAGAAATGAATGTTACATAATAATTTATTTATATGTATTTGAAAAGATCCGACTTTATTTTATGAATAAATTTTTTGGAATAATAGGATTTTAATTATATTTTATATTTAAAATTCATTTATCATCCAAACTGGTTTCGGATGAAATATATTTTGTATGAATAATCACAACTGTATGTGGGCTTTTGCACAATTATAATAACAGTAAACTGCACCAAGTCAAACGAATTTTTCAAATTATTTTAATTGTAATATTTTTATAGTAAAACGACAAAATTCATTTTAATATTAGTTAAAAATTGACTACATAATACCTGGGATAAGGACACGAAAACCTCTTGGCATTAATATTTCTACTTTAGGTTCCAACGTCAAAATTTTATTTACACAAAAATAGTGAACACTATTGTGAATTCGATATTCAAAGTCTTTATAAAATACTCTTATCCAATAGTGTAATGTATAAAAGCACAACGAATAATATTTGTTTTTGGGTGTTTTAATCTCATAAACAATTGTTTCATTCGAAATTTTACCAGATATAATAGGAATATTAAAAATATAATCCAAATTAAAATCATTATAGATTAAACCAGTTAGCTCCAAAAAAGTCAAATCAGGATTAACTAAAATAAAAATTAATACATTTAAATTAAATTTAAAAAAAAAATGTCAATTTATAATTTTTTTATATTAGTATAAAATAAATGTTATATTAATAATGTCTTATTTTTTTTAAATAATGGTTTATGAAATTAGTTCTCTTGCAGCTAACATAAGTATGTCTAATTAACGTAGTAAGTACAATATTTTTTGTTAAGAAAATATTTCGTTCAAATAAAATTTTCAAAACAAATTTACCAGAACTATATCTTTGTTATTCACACATAAAATTGGTATCAAATGCGATCGATTAATCAGATGATATGTTTTATGTAAAATATTAAACTCAATTTATTTATACCTTTATATTTATCCTACTTACCGGGATAGGATATTCGAAATCCACTTCTGCGCATATCTATTTTTTCGTCATCTGAACGTAAATACGTAAAATTTTTATTTAACGAAAAGGGAATTTGGATATAGCGTTCTATACTGTAAAGATTGTTATTATACATTACATCAATTTTATATATAATGCCTTGACCAAGATCGATAACTTCCAATCTATTCTCGAATATCCAACTTTCGTCATTAACTCCAACCGTTGTCATTGAGGTGTATTCATTAGACCTAATTTTGAAATGAAATGCGCAGAAAGTTATACCAGGCTCATCTAAAATAAATATCGAAATTATAAAACTAAATTTTTCCTAAATAAATAACATTTCCTGTAAGAAAATTATATAAATTATATAAGTTGTAAATAATACATACATAATATATGTACATAATATAGCCATGAAACTTCAATAACTCTCAATATAATCAAAATTAACTTCTACAGATTTAGGAAACGGCATGAAAAATTTTAATTTATAATTTTTAACAATTGAAATTGTTACATGTTTAAATATGATACCTAAGTATGTATATACATACATACATATTTTAAATAATTTCAATTTATCATCATTGCATAAAAATATTGTGAATGTATATATACATATGTACATATGAAAGTACGTACACAGTTATGAGCTTGCATTATCAATAAATTTTTCTCTTACATCAACACTTGGTACGAGTATAAATTCAAAATTAGCTACTAATTATTACCAGAAAATTAAAAGAAAAATCACTTCGAAATAATTTTTGATTAAATTGTGTTTAAGTTTTTGATATAATGGGTCTATAACAGCCGGAATACAAGTTTAAAATCAGTAGTATTTTAAATTACCATTGACCTACATATATCACCTTTCATATTAATCTCAAATTGAACAAAAATGATAAGTTAAATTTCTTTTACCCGGTATAGATATTCGAAAACCTTTAGGTCTCAATATTTCTATTATTGGTGCTGGAACTGTGTATGTTCTACCATTTTTTATAACAAGTAAAGTGCAAATTATAAATGATATAATTAAATTTTTCAAAAAAATATACGCCATTGAAACTTAAAAAAAAACATAAATGTATGTACATAACGTATACGATATTCGAAATTTTTCTAATATTGATAACGTTTGAATTACAAATCAAAACTAAATCTTGCTATGATTAAACTCTTATTTAACAATATTATTAAACATCATTATAAATTATGTACGTATATAAAAGAAAAATTTTTCCTTTTCAAATAAATTATAAGTACTAAAGTAACATAACATCAAATGATAAAGAGAATCTCTAAAACCTATTTCTACATAATAATACTCGTATGTGCTTATGCGCATACATACATACATAATTACTTATTTATAGCTTATCATTGCCTTAGTTTGTGTATGTTTTATCACGATTAATTACATTACATATGTACAACACGGAAGTTTTTATGATCATATAAAATTTCAAATTTAAATTTTTCTCCGGACCTTTCCATGTTTAAAAAGCGCTTCCTGGCGAGTTATTGATCTGTTCATCTATCGGTCTATATATTTAATTTTGTTATATTATGTATAATGTATGGAAAATCAAAAGTCGTTCGAATGCAATATTAATATATAACAAAATTGATTTTTCAGAAAATCTTGCTTGTGTTCCAACTGAATTTGGCTTTTCCAAAAAGTACATAAACTTTTTTCGTACAGATAACACAACAGATGTGCATAATATATGAAAAAAGAAAAATATATAATATAAGAAAAAGTGACGTATAAAATCACATCATAGAAAGATTAGAAGCATAAAATCGCATTTTCCCTGATGTTAGGTAGTTTGCAACCGAACGAATTAGAAATATACTCGTATATGTAAAGGAAGGAGCATCTTGAAAAAACAATGAAGCCAAATTCTTTTTAGTTGTCTCTTCTTTTGCTGCGAGCATTGTCAAAGTCGTAAGAGGAGCGTATTTATTTTATTTTCTTACCTGGCCTCTACTAAAAAATATGTGTAACTTGTAAGAAAGTTAAGTTAAAAATTTAAACAAAACTCATTATTTTTTTTCTCTTTGAATAAATTTATTTTATGAATTATAAAATTATAAATTTTGGTAAAACATTTGAATTACAAATTATGAAATAAAATTACAAAATAAGAATTAATCAAAGAAAGCGCTATTTAATAAATATTTCTTTCAATAATTAAAATGAATAATATTCACATGTTTGTTGTAATAAAACTATTTGTTTTTACAAATGGGAATAACAATTTAGAACTATACACCTTTTGCTTTTTCAACAGATTTTTTTCACTTGTTATATTTTTTTATAAGTTTTTATAAAATAGTATTCCTTTTTTAACACTTTTTATTAAATATTTTATAATTTTTTATTTACAAACTGTACTAATTTTATGAACAATATAACAAAATCTTCTTTGTTTTTTTTTTTAGCCTCGTGTAATTTTCTAAGAAAAAAAATTTTAAATTTTCAGTTTGGCAATGTTCGGAGCAAAGAAAGAGACTTACCTGAAGGTTTTGGTTTTACTGTTTTTTTTCAAGATACGATTTTTTAGGCAGTGTAAGCGAGATAGAAACAAAGATGCTTCTACCTTTAGTATCTCTAATTTGTTGTTGCAAGCATTAAAATTTTACAAATTTTATTTTTTGCCCATTACCGAACTATTACATAAGCAATCTACGGGGAAAAAAGTCGCAATACATTCAAAAAATTTTTCAATGGTTGATAATTTTTCCGAAATATAATTCTTTTTTTTTTTATTGGTATGAAAAGAAAACTTCCTTTTATTCGAAATAAAATACTTTTTTTATTTGTTTTTTTTTACGTACGCACTTTATCAAAGAAGAAAATCAGCTTTGAAAAAAGTATTTTTATCAGAAAAAAAAGTATTTTATTCCGAATAAAAGGAAGTTTTCTTTTCATTGCAATACATACAAAATTTTGCCCGTTTATTGTCTGTTAAATTGTCGAGAAAATTTTTGCTTTCAGCTATTTGATTCAATAATTTGATAATATTTGATAATATTTTTTAGGTGTTTACCTTGATATAGCAAAAATATCAAGGCCTGGGCCACGGCTAATACACTAAATAAAAAGAATTTGATGTGATATTTATCAGTCTAGAATACGCGACATAAAATAAAGTTAATAAAAATTTTATTAGATTGTAAAATAGAATTTAAATTTGTAATCATTAGATTTTAAGTTTTAATTATTATTTTAATTATTATTATAGTGCCTTTGTAATTTCATAATCAGTTGTCCCCTCGAACATAATAAAAATATTATAAGGAAACTTGTATAAGCTTTAAAGTTCCTGATGCGGTAGTTCGGCGTTAATGGACCCATTTAAAAGGAGATCGGGGGTCATGCGATCACCTCCATTGGTGATTGCCGATAAAAATAACAGAGTTAAGGATGATAACTCTGAGAAAAGTCAAATAAATCTGTTGGAGAGACTACATGAGAATAACCGAGTTAGAGAGACAGGCAGAGAACGTAAATTTAAAAAATCAAATAGAATCTGCATCAACAGAAAAGAAGAACAAAGACACGAAAGTTATTGCATATGAAAAATGGAAAAGTCTTCTGAAATAAATTCAGGGAAGACAATTTAAAGAAAAAAATAATGAAACCCGCCCTAAAACCAAGGCTGAAAATCCAAAGAAGCACAGGCCTCCTACGGTTATATTGAGCAATATTAAAAACAACCCCCACATAGTTAAAATATTAAAAGAAGCAAAAATAAACGTTAGGATCAACATGATCAATAACGACCAATTAAAAATAAATGTAGAGAATGAAAATTAATACAAATTGCTAACAAAAGCTATAAATAAGGCTAGACTGGAGTGGCACACATATGAGAATAAACTGACAAGGCCAGTTAAAGCTAGAAATCTCATTCCATCGTGTAAACCCGAAGATATGAAAAATGAACTCATTGGCTAAGGCTTTAAATGTCTAGATGTTGTAAATAAAATCAAAAGGAAAAAAGAAAATGGAAAATATATTTCAGTAAAACTTCCGCTCTTTATGTTATCTTCTGACCATTCGGAAAAGATAACCAAAATCTATAAAATAGAATACTTACAGCACATGAGAAGCAGCAAGTCCATTCCGCAATGCACAAGATGCCAGAGATTTGGACAAACACAAAAGTTTTGCCAAAGAGAGGTTGAATGTGTAAAATATGCTGATAATCATATGACAGCATAGTGCAACAAAAAGGATAATTTTCAGCCCAAATTTCAGCCCTGCCAGCAGCTATCGAGGTTGTTTGCTTGCAAAATAATTGCAAAAAAGGAGGTTAAAAAAGGGTAAAACCAAACAAAATCAAGTTAAATTAAATGAGCAAAGAGCTCGAAAAATAACCAGAATAACAACACCTAACAAAGTGTTAAAGGGAGTATCATATTCGCAGGTGCTTCACAAATGAAAAGAACTGACGAAGACATTACGCAAATGATCCATAGTATGTTGAATAGAATTGACGAGATCTCTACAAGATAATCTAATGACGAGATCTATTAAAAATAGAAAATGGATACACTGAGGTATATACGGTGACAGCAAATAAAAAATTGAGAAAAGATACAGGTAAATCAAATACGTATAGTAACTTTGAATGCAATGGTATTTTTAATAAGAAACAAGAATTAGAGATTTTTCTTAAAAAATCTCTAATTCTTGTTAAAATAGGCCTTAAAATATTATAATAAAATTAGTAATACTCTTCTCGGAGGTAGTGCAATACTAATAAAAGAAAGTATAGAACATAATGAAAATTCAAGATAGAAACAGCTGAAATCCAGCTTATTTCGATAAAAAAATCTACTAAACCGGACTTTAATGTTGGTGCTGTATACTGTCCATTAAATTTCACCATTAAGAAAAATACTTTTAAAGATCTCCTGGATGGACGCAAACATGGACATAGATATCTATTAGGAGGTTACTAAAATGCCAACATACCGACTGGAGTTCTAGAATCACCTCAACTAGAGGAAGAAAGCTAAGAAAAGCTACTCAAAAACTTGGTTGTTGATATCACTCCACTAGCACTCCTACTTATTGACCTACTGACACCAACAAGATTCCTGACGTTATTGACTTTTTTATAACTAAAAAAATATCAGAAAACATTCTAAGCCTTGAATATAATTATGATTTTAATTCAGATCACTCTGCTGTCATATGATAAGTGAAAAAATAACTACAACATTATATAAACCCACTTTGACAAATAGCATTACAGTTTTGGCGAGCTTTAAATGCGAAATAATAAATAATATTGACGTAAATATTAATATACAACCAAGAGAACAATTAGATCTTGAGTTAGAAAAATTTATTGAAATCATACAAAAAGCTACATGGAATAATAAAAAATGTCAAACTACAAACCAATACAGCAATTAGCTATCTTAAAGAAATAACTGATTTAATAAGTGAAAAAAGAAGGGCTAAACGTAGGTGCCAATGCTCCTGTCTCCCTGTTGGTAAAACTGTTTTAAACGGATTTTCCCAGATGCTTGAAAGAAAAATCCAAGAATTTAAATCGGCAACATATGAAAATAATATAAAGAACATGTCAGCTACTAAGCAAACGATCTATTCATTATGGAGGGCAGCAAAGAGCAAAAGGACACCGATTAAGCACGCTCGCGCAACTGATAAAAGCAAATGGCATTGAAAGCCGAATTATTTGCTGATCACTTAGAAAGCATATTCACACCAAACAGAATAACATCAGATGCGGGTTTAGTAGAATCTATCACAAATGAAGCGATACTAAACTCTACTAAATACTCGTCGAATACTGAGAACAAAACCAACGGTGGCAGCACCTACTTTGGAAATAGTACCATTCCCACTACCATTACCAGAAACTTTACCAGTAGATAGTACTATTAATGAACTGCAATCCTCAAATGAAAGTATATTTAATGTTGTAACTAAAAACATGGTAAGTTCACCATCTAATTATAATAAAAAAAATTGTAACAATAATACAAAAACCTTACCTTTTTTAAAATATATCAAAAA